GGGACTACATCAAAATAAAAATCTTCTGCACATTAAAGGAAACAACGCACAAAACCAAAAGACAACCTACTGAATGGGAGAAGATATTTGCAAATGACTTTTTCAATAAATGGTTAGTGTAAAAATATATAAAGAACTTACACAACTCAACACCAAAAAACCCACAAATAACCCAATTGTGAAACAGACAGAAGACATGAACAGATATTTATCAAAAGACATATAGACAGCCCTCAGACACAGGAAAAGATGCTCAACATCACTCATCATTGGGAAAATGCAAATCAAAACCATCATGGATATCATTTCACACCTACCTGAATGACTAAAATCAAAAAACTTAAGAAACAACAAGTGTTGGCAAAGATGTGGAGAAAAAGGAACCCTTGTGCACTACTGGTGGGAATGCAAACTGATGCAGCAACTGTGGAAGACCATAGGGAGGTTCCTTAAAAAATTTAAAAATGGGAGGCACCTGGGTGGCTCAGTTGTTAAGCATCTGCCTTCAGCTCAGGTCATGATCCCAGGGGCCTGGGATCTAGCCCCACATCAGGCTCAGTCAGAAGCCTGCTTTTCCCTCTCCCACTCTCCCTGCTTGTGTTCCCTCTCTCGCTGTGTCTCTATCAAATAAATAAATAAAATCTTAAAAAAAAAATTTTTTTTTAAATGGAACTACCCTATAATCCAGGAATCACATTACTGGGTATTTACTCAAAAAATGCAAAAACACTAATTCAAAGGGAGACATGCACCCCTATGTTTATGGCAGCATTATTTACAATAGCCAAGCTATGGAAGAAGCCTAAGTGTCCATCAACAGATGAGTGAATAAAGAAAATGTAGTATGTATGCATAATACAGCCATAAAAAAGAATGAAATCTTGCCATTTCCAACAACATGGATGGATCTACAGAGTATAATGTTAAGTCAAATAAATCAGTCAGAAAAAGACAAATACAGTATGATTTCATTCATACATAGAATTTTAGAAACAAATGAATAAAGGAAAAAAAGAAACAAACTGAAAAACATGTGGACTGTCAAAATAAAACGTCAGCAAAGTCAAAGATAGGTTAGTTGATCATCTAATCTGAGGAATGAAATGAAAAAATAATGGAAAAAAAACAGAAAGAGCCTCAGAGTCTTGTGGTTCACCATCAAACATATCAATACATGTATGACAGAAGACCAAGAGAAGAGAAAAAAAAAAGAATTATTTCAAGAAGTAACAGCTGAAAACTTCCTGAACTTGATTAAAAACATTTACCTGCACATTCAAGAAACTCAATAAATTCCAAGTGGAATAAACTCAAAGAGATCCACATCTAGATACTTCATAACAAAACGGTCAAAAGACAAAGACAAAGAGGGGCACCTGGGTGGCTCGGTGGGGTAAAGCCTCTGCCTTTGGCTCAGGTCATGGTCCCAGGGTCCTGGGATCGAGCCCCACATCAGGCTCTCTGCTCAGTCAGGAGCCTGTTTCCTCCTCTCTCTCTGCCTGCCTCTCTGCCTACTTGTGATCTCTGTGAAATAAATAAATAAAATATTTTAAAAAAAAGAGAAAAAGACAAAGACAAAGAATCTTGCAAAGCACCAAGAGAGAGCCAACGCTTCACTTAACAAGGAGCCTCAACAAGAAAAAGATCTGATTTCTCATTAGAAAACATGGTGGTCAGAATGCACTGAGATGTCACCGTCAAAGAGCACAAAGAAAAAGGCTAGCAATCAAAGTATCTGTATCCAGCAAAACTTAAAATTAAGGAGAAATTAAGACATACCTAGATACACAAAAACATGAGGATTCATTGCTAGCAGACCTGCCCTGTAAAAAACACTAAAGGGAGTCAGTCCATTAGGCTGAAATGAAAGGATAGATTATCTCAAATCTATGGGGGAAAAAATACCTTGACATGTAAATGAAAACACAACATTTATGGCACTCAGCTAAAGAAGCGCCAGGAGGAAAATTTACAGTTTTAAATGCCTAAATGAAAGTAAAGATCTCAAAATCAATAACCTAATGTTCTACCTTAAGAAACTAGAAAATAAAAAATAAAAACACACTAATACTAAAGAATGCAGAAAAGAAAGAAACAATAAAGAGTGAGGTATTTGAAATAGAGAAGAAAAAAAAAAAACAATACAAAACATCAATGAAAACACAACTGAAAAATCTTTAGTCATACTGTCCAAGAAGAGATAAGATTAAAATTACTAATCTGGATTGGAAAAAAGGGCATTACTAACAACCTTACAGAAATTTTAAAAAATCATAAAGGAATACTATGAACAACTGTACACTAGCAAATTACATACCTATATGAGATGGACAAATTCCTAGAAGGACATACAATACCAAAACTGACTCAAAAGGAGAAAATCTGAGTAGATCTATAAGAAAAGACTGATTTAGTAATAAGGAAAACTGACCTGAAAGAAAACCCCAGAACCAAATGGCTTCATATTAACACTTCGAAAAAAGAAGAGAAAACTTTAAAACGCACTCTATGAGGCCAATAACACCCTCATTCCAAAACCAAAACATTACAAGAATACACAAATATCCCTTATTGATATAGATACAGAAATCCTCAACAAAATACTGTATAACTGAATATGGCAATATATAAAAAGTACTATACACCATGACCAAGTGGGATTTATCCCAGAATGCAAGATCAGTTCAACATAGAAAAATCAATCATGGCAATACACCATATTAATATACAGGTAAAAACCCAAATAATTGTCTCAATAGACACAGAAAAAGTGCTTGACAAAATCCAACATCCTTTCATGATAAAAACACTCAAAAAGTTAGGAATAGAAAGTAATTTCCTCAATCTGATAAAGGGCATCTATGAAAAATCCAAAGCTAACTTCATACTGACTGGTACAAGACTGGAAGCTTTACCTCTAAAAACAAAACAAAGATGTCCCCTTTTGCTGTTGTTACTCAATACTGTTCTGGAAGGAGTAGCTGAAGAAATTAGGTATGAAAAATAAATAAAAGTCATATAAATTGGAAAAAAAAAAAGAAGAAGAAGAAACATTACATCTCTATTCACAAATGACATGATTTTGTATACAAAAAATCCTAAGGAATCCACACAGACAAAAATCTGTAGGGGCCAAAAAAAAAAAAAAAGTTCATCCAGGTTTCAGAATAAAAAATGAATATACAAAATCAACTGTGTTTCTATCTACTAGCAAAGAATAATCCACAAGTGAAAATAAGAAAACAATTCCATTTACAACAGCATGAAAAGAATAAGATATTTGGGAATGAAAGAAATAAAAATTTATATACTAAAAACTATGAAATATCACTGAGAGACAAAAGAATTAAACTGAAAGATATTCTTTGTCACAGACAAGAAGCAGTAATATTGTTAAGATAAAAATACGCTCTCAAATATACCTAAAGAGTCAATGAAATCTCTGTCAAAATCCTAAGTGGCTTTTTGCAGAAATTAACAAACAGATCCTAAAATTCATAGGAAAATACCAGGAACCCAGACTAATCAAAACAATCTTGAAAAAGAACAACAAACTTCCAGTTGTAAAATAAATAAATCACAGGGATATAATGTATAGCATGGTGACTACAGCTAATAATATTGTATTGTATATTTTAAAGTTGCTGAAAAAGCAGATGTTAAAAGTTCTCACCAGAAGAAAAAAAATATTTGTAATCACACATACGGTGACGGGTGTTAACTGGACTTGTGATGATCATTTCATCACAAATACAAATACTGAATCATACTGCTATACACCTGAAACTAATATAATGTTATGTGTCCATTATACCTCAATTTTAAAAAAAAAGAAAGAATAAAAAAAGCAAAGATGTAGAACGGATGCTTTCAAATTTCTAAACTTACTGTAAAGTTACAGTAATCAAGACAGTGTGATATTGGGATAACAGAGACGAATGGAACCGAACTGAGTGTCCAGAAATAAACTCTCACATTATGGTCAAGTGATTTTCAACATGAGTATTAAGACAACTCACTTTGGGAAAAAATACGCTTTTCAACAAATGGGGCTAGGACAACTGAATATCCATGTGCAAAAGAATGAGATGGAATCACTATCTCATCATACCATATACAAAAATTTACACAGAATGGACCAAAAGTCTAAATGTAGAATTAAAATTATCTTAACTCTTAGAAGAAAACATGATCTTGAACTAGTTAATTGTTTTGTACTTAAGAGACCGAAACCACAAACAACAAAGGAAAAAATAAATTGGACTTCATCAAAACTCACAACTTTCTTGCTTCAAAGAATACTATAAAGAAAAAAAGAAAATAAGAAGACAATCTACAGACAGGAGAAAATATTTGCAAATAAAACATTTCACAGGGGCACCTGGGTGGCTCAGTGGGTTAAAGCCTCTGCTTTCAGCTCAGGTCATGATCCCAGGGTTCTGGGATCGAGCCCCGCATCAGGCTCTCTGCTCAGCAGGGAGCCTGCTTCCCTTCCTCTCTCTCTGCCTGCCTCTCTGCCTGCATGTGATCTCTGTCAAATAAATAAATAAAATCTTAAAAAAAAAAACAAAAAACAAAAACAAAAAAAAAACATTTCACAGGTGCCTAGTATCCAGAACATACAATTCTCAGAACTCAACTATAAAATGAAATTTAACTAAATTAAAAAGGTAAAGGATTTTGGGACACGTGGGTGACTCAGTGGATTAAGCAACTGCCTTTAGCTCAGGTCATGATCTAGGGTCCTGAGATGGATCCCTGTGTAGAGCCCTGCGTCAACTTCCTGCTCAGCAGAGGAGTCTACTTCCCCTTTGTCCTCTACCCCTCCCCCCACAGGTACACGTGTGCTCTCTCACTCATTTTAGTAAATAATATCTTTTAAAAAAGGAGGGGTAAGGATTTGAACACACATTTCTCCAAACAATATACACAAATGGCCAATAAACACATGAAAAGATGCTCAATAGCCATCATGGAAATGTAAATCAAAACCACCATAAATGCCTTAAACTTATGAGTAAGGAAAATTATGATTCAAGGTGATGCCCAAATTCTCATTGCTAATATGAGACAAATTTTTGAGTGGGTCAACTTATTCCCTAAGGCAACTTGCCTACTTTGTGAGATGCCTGGGAGTGGCCATCTGCCTGTCACCTTTTAAAGCTCAAAGAGCAGACTGGTATGAAGGTAATAAGTGGTATCTATACAACTGAATATTATTCAGCCGTAAAAAGGAATGAAGCACTATTAAATGCTAAAACCTTGAAAATATTATGTTAAGCAAAAAAAGCAAACACAAAGACCATATATTTTATGATTCCATTTATATGAAACATCTAGAATAGCCAAATTCACTGAGATGGAAAGTGGATTAATGGTCAGGGGCAGAGAGTAAGAGGAAATGCTAAAGGATGCTAAAGGATGAAGATTTCTGTTTCTATTTTACCAATCTATTCCTTTTAAACAGTCTAATATTCAACCCCCTGACATCCCAATTTGTGAGCTCTGCCCAACCTTAACTGGCTAACTGAATCTGAGAGCTAGAACCTCTAGGCTAGTCTGGAAAGGAATTAATCTGAAGAAGAAGAGAAACCAGACTGGGGAAAAAAGAACTTTTTTTCTAAGTCGAGAAACTACAAACTATTACATCACCAACTACTCATCTTTACTGCAAACAAATGCATTACCTTGGGGCGCCTGAGTGGCTCAGAGGGTTAAGCCTCTGCCTTCATCTCAGGTCATGGTCTCAGGGTCCTGGGATCGAGCCCTGCATCGGGCTCTCTGCTCGGTGGGGAGCCTGCTTCCCCCTCTCTCTCTGCCTGCCTCTCTGCCTACTTGTGATCTCTGTGTCAAATAAATAAGTAAAACCTTTTAAAAAATTAAAAACAAAACAAAAAAACAAATGCATTACCTTCACTTTTACAGGGTCAAACACTAGCTAGCTATTAATATACCACTATTATTATAAAATAATGTCTTTTTTTTGAGTGGTCAGACAACAGAAGAATAATCGAAATACGTTGCTACTACTATTGTGGATCCCAGACCTCTAAAATAGAAGATAATTTCTCAATTCATCCTTCTACACTCAAAGGCATTCTTTTGGATACTGAAAATAAACATACACACATTTGGAAAATGTACTGCAATGAATAAGGAAAAGCAAATACTAATACAAATTCCTACAATCTTTCTCTTTTAGACTATTTCATATTTTTTCAGTGTACCATCAACTCCTTTACTCCTTTGCAGTTGCCTAAAATCTAGCAAAGCACTATATATTTATTCAAATGGTTGCTCAGACCCAACATTTTTAAGAGCTTTAAAGAGATAGACTCATCAAACAGATGAGTCTATCTCTTTATCAATATAATAAAAATATCAAATAATATCAAACAGATGCATATTTTCCTTGAAGACATTTTTACAATAAACAGCATCTTTATAAGCAGCAGTTCATTGTAAAAAGCAACTTGCCTCTAGAAGGTTCTAAAGACAATTGATGGAAAAGGAAAGGTGATTGGGAATCTCAAACCTAGTGTTCTAAAAGGATTCAGACAATGACAACAAAGTTTTGGTAACACAAATGTACCTATTCCTAGCTATTTTACATCAGTTTTGCGTGAAAAGGGAAAGAATAATGTTGTTAGGTAACATAATTTAAGGATTTCCTTGTGTTTATTTGACATAAAATACCAACAATGAATTTTATTTCCTTTCATTCTTGTTTTCCCAAAATGTAACCTTTTTTTTTTTTTAAAGATTTTATTTATTTATTTGACAGACAGAGATCACAAGTAGGCAGAGAGGCAGACAGAGAGAGAGGAGGAAGCAGGCTCCCCGCTGAGCAGAGAGCCCGATGTGGGGCTCCATCCCAGGACCCTGGGATCATGACCTGAGCCGAAGGCAGCGGCTTAACCCACTGAGCCACCCAGGC